GATGAATTTATTTCTGAACTTTCCTAATACTGTAGACAATGTCTTATAGTTACTGTGGGCCCAAAGAGTGTTCACATTTACTTAAAGCTGTATATCAGGGATTAGACACGTCTTTTAGCCACTAGATTATAAAGTATTGAATTTCTTCAAGCTTTAACTGAGAGACTCTTTGTGTGTTTAGCAATTACTTACTTCGGTTTTGCTAATGCTAGCACATTTTGCTTATGTATTTGCATGTATTTAAGTAAGTAGATAAATTCTAATTTTCCAAGGAAATTTTAAGTCTACTTGATAATCAAAATGACCTTGACTAATTTTTCTTAATGTTCTTCTTTTTTTTGTTCCACAAAAGATTGAACTATAGGTAGTGAAATTTAACTAAGTTTTAATGCCAAATGTTTTACTATATTAAACAATGACATTTTTATAATTGTCTTCCTTTGGAAAACTTTTTAATAAGATGTTCTAAAATGATTTTTAGTTATAGAAAGGGCCAAACTTATACTTCCATTTAAGGATAAACTTTATATCTTTCCACTGAAGTGTTTATGCCCCACTGGTAAAGATTGAACTGAAAGACATACGTGGGATCTAAAACAAGGTGAACTCAGGAAGCAGAGAGTAGAATAATGGGTGCCTGGGGCTGGCGGAAATGTCTTGGGCAAAGTATACAAAGTTTCACTTTGAATGAATAAATTCTGGAGATTTAATGTGCAGCATGGTGACTATTAATAATAATAATGATGATGATGATGATGTACACTTGAAAATAGCAAAAAAAGAGCGAACTTAGTATATATATGCCATCAAAAGGGGAATACGTATATATTTTGTGGCATTGTAATCTGCTATAAACTATATTAACATTTGAATTATTTCTTAAACGAGGAGGTGTTTGGTAGCTTATTTGTTTTCCTTTCTGTGTTTATTAGATTGTAGATATTACTATGGTTTACAAATAGACTTTATATCTTTTTTTTGTCTTCCAAAGTACTTATAGTGTGATATACTGAATCAGCTTTCCTGAGACAGTGATTAGGCAAACAAGAATTTTAGATTAAACTCCCTCTTTTTCCTCCATCTTTATATTCTTGGCTCATTAAAAATATTAACAAAAGTTCTTCATTTTAAAAAAAATACATATTTTCTATAAAAAGCACACAGAAAGTGAAAATCTGTTTGCCTTCTTCTGAGCATCGTTTTTCCCTTCCCATACATCAACAGTTTTTTGTTTGCTTTCAGAAACATTTTTATGCATCTATCTGCATATGTATAAGAGATATGTAGATATTTTAAAAATTCTTTGACATGTGTAATTGTTATACATGCTTCTGTACCTTTTAAATCTGATTTGCTATTAATTTTGAAAATTTTTCATTCCATGCCAAAGCTTATTTTATGGCTGCTTAGTATTCCAGAATATGGAAGTTCTATAATTTAATTATCTTCCCAATGAGCACTTAGGCTAGGTTCATTTTAGATTATTCAGGTGAGAGTGTTTACAGAATTTAAAATACCAATGTTTTTACCTCCTCAGTAGTCACAGGGAGGGGGAAAAAGAACTATTTCTTATATGTAGAATCTCTAAAAATGTATAGATGTGTGTAGTCTTGGCATATGTATAAATTTTACTGCCATTAGGCAATTGAAAAGTATTTTTTGATTTTTTGCTTTACAATTTTAAATAGAGCTAACTTTGTTTTACTGTTGCTTATAATTAGGACCATTCTTAAAATATCTGATTTATTATTTAAAAATTGGCTTTAGGGCTTTTATATGATAGATGAGTTTTTTGGTGGGGGGGGCGGTGGGACCTTAGAGTGTCTTATTATAAGTTTTATTTATACTTCCCATAGGGATTAGGAGCAGACAGCAAGAACCTGTACCCTTTCCTGCTCCCAGTTATTCAACTGAGTACAGATGTTTCCCAGCCTCCACATGTTTATCTTCTGGAAGATGGTTTAGAATTATGGTAAGAGGAAAAACTTGATACCATGGATCTTATTTTTATTTATGGCCGTCCCTACTCATGCCAATAAAGTAAAGGTCATGTAACAGGGCTTTAAATACTCAGCATTTAAAAGCAAAAACATAAAATTGGTTTTCCCAAACTGGGTAACACAACAGCTCTTTATCTTTTTGTCAGCTGCCACTCAGTGTAGGCATATAATAGACAAAAGTTAAAGGGGAAATTCCAATAAGAAAGAATTCAGCTGCATTTCACCTTTTGGAATTTGGCATGTAAAATGGGAATTTGATAACTTTTCCAAACTAAAAATTGAGTTAAAATTTCCAGTCTGTTAAGTGAGATGTTTTGGGGGATATTGAGGCATTATTTTCAACCTCTTACTATATCTCACCCAGTAAGTACCAAGATATTATACCTCAGCCCCAAATGCAAATAGTCTTGATTTATTATTTTACGAAGTGAATAGAATGTAGTGTTAAGAGGTTTAAAAAAAAACAAAAACAAAACCACAGCTCTGCTTCTGTGGCAGCTCAGTGCCACGAATGTTCGTTGACGGCCCACTGTATGTAAGGAACTGTGCTGAAAAATCCTTTTGTTTTATTAAACTCATCTTACTGATAGCAACAGTTTTCTTCAGAGAAAATCTTTCAATAATACATGAAAGGTTTAAGAATCCCAGTGTATAAATTGACTATTGGAATTAAAGAAGCAAATCACAGAAATCAACCATAGAAAAAAATGAACATTTGTTTCCCTCCCTCCCTGCCTCCCTCCCTACTTCTTTCTCTCCCTTCAGAACTTCCTTCCTTTGGAACTTGCTTCCTTCCTTCCTTCGTTTTGCTTAGGTGTTCTAGGAATTAACAGTTTTGGTTCTTAGAAATAATCTTTGGTGTAAATTACAAATTAATGATCTATATTAGAATAGTAGAGGAACGATTTTAAAACTTAACTAGGTAGATATTTAATAAGTTGCAATTTGGGTTCCTCATACTCTTTTCTAGATTGTATTGTTTGAACTTAAATGATATCTAGAAAGTTTGATTGTAAATTAGCATGTTGTTGAAATCTTTTCATATATTAATATTTATATTTGTACAAGGATAGATTGTAGATCAGAGATTGGCAAACCTTTTCTGTAAAGGGCCAGACAATAAATATTTCAGGCAGTCCAAGTCATATAGTCTCTTTCAGAACCACTCAACTCTGCTCTTGGTGTCAAAGCAGTCACAGACAATACATAAAGGAGAGGACATGGCTGTGCTCCAATTAAACATTATTTACAGAAATAAATATATGGGTAGAATTTAGCCCATGAGCTGTAGTTTGCCAACCCCTGTTCTAGATTAGAAATTAAAATATTAATCTCTGGCATCTAAGTACTTTTTTGTAAACACAGATACTATATGTTGTTGAATATTAGAAAAATTTTAAATATGATAAAGAAATAGACTCAGACTTATCAGTATTACAAATGTAATATATTATGCTTATTAAAATGTATAAATTTTCAAAAGATTACAGAAACATAATAAAAATGTACTGCTCTGTTAATGGCAAATTTTTGCCACTTATCCTTTAGTTACATGTAAATGAAAATAATTAGGACAAATTTTTTAAAAAATTGCTGAATTTATTAATAGTTAAGTTTCTCTAGCTTAAAGAATCAGGGCACAAATTTTTTCATATATTTTTCTTAGTTAAAGCTCATATTTGGAGTCACATATGGGTGCCAATCCCAGATATACCACTGTATTAGATGTATCATTTGAATAAATTATCCTCTTTTGAGCCTCAATTTCCTTATCTGTAGTACGTGAAAAAATCATTCCTACCTCACATGGCTGTTGTGAGGTTGTGGTAGTTTGCTAAAGTGGTTAACATTTTGTACATGGCATTTAAAGCCTGAGAATATATGTAAGGTTGCTTAGGAAGAGAATGGCAGATAGAGAACATTCTGCCTAGGGCAGAACCCTAATGAACTTACATTTTGAGGACACAAGGGGAGCCATCTATGAAAACACAGAAGAGCTATGTACTGATGTAGTAGGAAAACCAAGCCAAAATAGAAGAATATTTCCCAAAAGAGAGAGGGGAGACCTATGTCAAATGTTGCTGATTTTCCTAGCAAGATTACAGAGAAGTGAAATTGGCTACATGGAGATGATAGGAGAGTTTTCAGTGGAGTTCTAAGAACAGAAACGAGAATTGGAGTAGATTGAAGAATGAGTTGGGGAAAAGTAAGCATTCAAAACTGAGCATTCGTAACTTCTTTGAGAGCTTTTACTATTAAGAGGAGTATGGAAATGGGGCAACAACAGGCTGGTGAGGGGAATGCAAGGTCTAGAGACATAAAGTATAATAGTTATCTCAGTTTGAACTTATCAGGGATAATCAGTACCAGTTGCTGTTTGTGATCATGAGTATAGACTGAAACTCTTGGACCAGATATGTCAGGAGTCCCCAACCTATGGTGAGTTGTATAACTATATCATT